GCTTGTCTCCAGTGACGATTGAATTGTCCAATCCATGGCTTGTAGATTCACAATGATCTTATTTGGATATTTTAAGTTTTCTATGTAAAGCATTACAGAAACATTTAGAGTGATTTAATAATATAAATTACATGTATTTATATTTTAAAAAATAAATCTAAATGTAATTTGAAATAATTCATTTCCAGTGGTTTATTAAGAATTTTTTTTTATTTTAGAAATTTTTTGTATAATCATAGATTGTATTTGATATTATCATAATATATCTGAGGTTCATTATAATATTATATATGATTAAAACAATAAATTGTGAGTGTTGATTTTTTATCTCGTAACTAAATAGATCTCTTGCCGAGAATCTAGGAATTTAGCTGAATAGCACACGGTAAAATAGATTAAGCTAAACAATTGCACATAAGAAATGAGAATATCGCTGTGACTCATCCACTGTGCACTCTGACGATCAAGTCAGTAAACTTATCTGTTCAAAGTATTAAAACAAGTATTCAATGCATAAGGTAAAAGCATACTTTCGACTCACAGGATACCTCACTTTATAGCCAATAGCGCCTCATCCTCTAGAAATCTCACTTTATAGGACTCAAGCACATACTTATCTCAGACTCTTAATTAGACATAAATGATATCCTCAAAAGTCACATCTTTATCTAAACTAAACGCATCATATATTTAGAAATCTTATTCATCTTTATCTAAACTAAACCATCATTTATTTAAAAATCTTGTTCTCTATCTAAATACTAGGATTCCGGTATTACCACACCCTATCTCCTGTCTTAACAATACCACAATCATTTTAACATTTTAACAATCTAATTCGTCTACGTGACACCACAGCCAATACCTCAATCACCTGGCATGATCTCGAAAATACATCCCCACATAAATAAATGTAGTGGTTTGGTCCAATCCAAGATCGGACTGGACCGTACTGTTGGACAGTGAGGCCCACCACGGGTCCCGTTTTAATAATCTGAACCGTTCAATGTGTAAACTCGTCGAGTACTATATGCCTGTAAAAAATCACGTTTGATCGGATATCGATAGCTATGTGAACAAAAGTTTTTATCAATCGTTAATTTTTTCACCGTCCATTTTTTTATACAAAACTGATTTGATCACATAGCTATTGATATCCAATCGACGTGATTTTTATATAATATAGTACTCGACGAGTTCTACAATTAAACGGTTCAGATTATCAAAACGAACCAAAAAATGAACTCCATAATCAACAGACAGTCTAATCTTAATCTCAACTTGAGATAAGCATACCTAATAAAATTATATAATCTCTACTTGCAGCCGAGAATATCAATTGAAATACATTATCTTGGAACTTTGACGGAATCCAATATAAAAACCAAAGCGCGAGCTGCCAAAGAGCGGTGAACGTGGAGAGATTTGATTAAAAAAAACATTAAGAAAAAGTGGGTAATCACGATGGATCCAACCCTGTAAAAATATAAACGTACTAACCATTATTGAATCTTCAAGCAACGTAATCATTTTAAGAATAATATAAATACATTCTTTAAAATTTATTTAAAATAAAATTATCATCACTTTAAAAAATTATAAATTATTCTTTTAAAAATTTTTATTTAACAAAATTAATTAAAAAAATTCATAATTACTCTCCTATACAATAATAAAATTACTTAAATTATTAATTGAATATATATTTATAATTCATTAAATTATTAATTGACTTGACGATTTATTAATAAAATGGACGATTTGTTATGAAATTAAAAATTTCAAGGGGTAAAATGTAATCTCCAGAACCACAAAAGGTGATTTGTTATTTGGCACCGTTTGGGAAAAAGGTTTCCAGGTTTTTTGACTATTTTAGCCACAAAAAATAAAATAGAACTATTTTAGTCACAATTACAAAACATCAACATCCAATTTATTAATATATATCTCTTCTCTAAAAATAT